GTAATTTCTACCGAGAACTAAGAGACATCTGGAGCGAAGTAACTTTATGAGGCAGAAAATTAAAGAACTCACTTCTAGCCTCGTCTATGGTCTGCCAGAGTCAGGATACATGCCACTATTTTCTGCAAAGCCTAAAAGCAAATAAGATATTGATTGAATATAAAAGAAGAGAGACTCTAGTAGTAAATAATCACCAAGAAAGTTTGAATGCCTAGTCTGGAGGGTGAGAATAAAATCTCTTTTCCCATAAGTATTGCTTTTCTACCTTGTATTCTTATAGTGTGGTGCAGGGAAGTAGATTGAATAGTTTTTAAACAAAGGCCATGTTATAACCACAAGCAGAATATTGCTCTGGAATAGAGAAAGGTATGAAGAAAATTACGCTATGGCGAAGAATTTCTTAACAACCAATTAATTAGTTCTGGTGACTCGTTTCCTACCAAAGCTATTAAATGAAATACCTTTTGGATTCTCATCTCGGAAATTAGGAAGACACTTTCATTTTGCATAGCCAGACCATGAATTCATAAATTATTTAATATAATATTAATTTATACTGACTACTGACTGTAAACCTCAATTAAAATATTCTGGAAAACTCATTACCCATCAACCTATCTCATAATGAATGTGTCATATCTTATTTAGAGAAAATAAATGAATGTCAGCGCAAAAGGTAATTGGGTTTTCTGAGCATCAGAATTCAGCTGGGATGGTAATAATCAAAATGTGGTCTTGAGGGTTGTAGAAACCCAAGGCTCTTCCAGATGGACACCGAAGAAGTATCCTGTAGTCACTTGATATTTATTTCTAGCTTCATAATAAAATCTGTTTTCTTGTTTCTGGCATGAATTGTTTGTTCATGACAAATCTCATTTTGGCCCTCTCTGCTTTCTGCCAAATGGCTAGAGAAAAAGAGAGAATGGGGGACAGTATTTCAACCAAACTGAAGAGGTCTATGAATTGAAAAAACGTGAGTCACTGACTAGAGAAGATCTTCTAGAGGAAAGAGGTGGGTCTCTAGCAGTCATGCGGTATGATCATTAAGAACACAGGGTTTGTCTTCACAGACCTGGGTTTGTGTTCCAGTTCTTTCTTAAAGCACTGTGGCTGTTCTTGTTTGGACTTGCATTAGTTACAGTAATGCTAGCCATCGTAACAAGGAGATTTGATGCGGTATAATGGCTCAGACATAATCACAGTTCATTTCTCCTGTAACTGCCTGAGGTAAATCCTATAAGCAGCAGGCAGCTGTGCTCACGCAGCGAACGAAGGGACCCAGACTCCTTCCATATTGTGGCTCTGCCACCCTCTAGGTCCTTGGGATTGCAGCTGGTGTAAGGAGAAAGAGAACATGTGAGGAACGCAAACCCCTTCTTAAAAGCCTTGGCTGGAATGAAGACACCTCACACCCACTAACATCCCATTGGTGAAAATCGATGATGGGTTGCATCTCAATGTAAGGGGATGGTGAGTGGGAAATGTAGTCCCTGTCTGTTCAGCTGCTTGTCAGGAAAAACTCTGTTAACTATGAACATTATGAGGAGGCATACATTTTGGCAGATGGCTGGCTATATCTGCCATAGGGCTGTTTATCAGAGACGATACATTCTGTGGAAGGGAAGTCGCTGGATTGCTGATGAAAAGTTCGGAGAGGTGAAGGACTTAAGAAAGAGTCAACCAGTAATGGGGGAGCAGGCTTGAGAACGGTGAGATTAAACCTGGGTAAAAGCCAGGTCAAGGAGCTCACCTCTCAGCTAAGAGGAGAGGCATCAGACATCAGGAAGACTAGAGTGCCACCAGTTAATGCCACTGTCAAAAGGGTGGGTCCCAATGATCAGAGACTTTCTCTTCCAGGGAAGCCTCCCTCCTTGGTTCTGTGCTGAGGGCTATAGTTACTGGAGTGGCTGAGGCTGGCCTCTACCCTCAAACAGGAAATGGAGAAAATCCTGTATTCAGGAAGCAGATGATGGTCCTTGGAGGCTGTGTAATACACAGAGGGAGAGAGACAGTTGTGTCAAGGAAGTGATACCCATGCTCTTTAAAGATGAAATGATGACAGATGAAAATGAGTTGGTGTTTGTCAGAACTTCTCTGCAGAGGCCTCACCTGGTTTTTCCTACCTTAGTTAGCTTTCTGTAATCTGAAGTATCTAAACATGATACCAAGTAACAGTTAAAGAAAAATGAGGTGATCACAGAATGAAAGCACAAGTAGATGTAAGTACATGCATGCTTATTGATCGCATCATTGTTTTTAGTAGCAGAAATCTGGAAAGATCCTTAATGTCTATCATTTAAGAGAATGGCTGAAGGGGATTACTATACAGCTATTAAAAAGAATGGCTTAGATCTGTATATACTGACCTGGAAGGACGTCCATGGATAAAGCAGGTTGCAAAGCCCTGTTTGATGTGATCCCACCTTTGTATAAACAAAGTGAAACACAAAACCTATATGTGTGTATCTGTTTGTGTAAGCATGGGGAAAAGTGTGTAAGAATACATTCCAAGTTTTAACATTGATATTTGGAGGAGTGAGGTGTTAGAGATTGGAGTTTTTAACTTTTTCCTTAAGTATCTGTTTTGTAAGTTAATGATTAACAAACAAGAAAAAAAAGGACCCACAAGGGTATTTTAAATCTCAGAAACTGATAAAATACAGAATGCTTCCTCCATCCAAACCCTGATCATCTACTTCTCCTTTCAATAATTATTTATTGAGGATCTACTGGGTGCCAGGTGCTTTCATGGACATTATTTTATTCAAGCTTTAGAATAATCCTGAGAGATCTTATTTACAGGTGATAAAACAAGAGAAAACAGAGCTTTAGTAACTCGCTCAGGGTCAAATCACTGGGAAGATGGTAGTGAGCATTTGTGCCCAGGCCCTCTGGCCCCAGAGCCTGTGTGCTCTTGTCTGGACTTCACGCTCCTAAAATCAGGAAGAGAGGTGGCCCTATTCCCTATTTCTGAGGTCAGGGAACTGAGCATTCCAACAAAGCCTGGTTAACTAGTAAGGCTCCTAGTTCATGAGCAGAAGGGTGACCTAGAGCAGGTCAGAATCCTGTTGGGAATAATCCCAGTCCTTGCTGAAAAACATAAGCAAAAGGACTGGAAAGACCCAATCTTGAAAGAATCCCCTTGGAGGTGAGTCACTTGGTTACAGCCATATGGGGGCAGAGAAGTACACTGGTTATAATCTTCTTGAGGGTCTCAGGGTAGTGGGAAGAACCGCTCTACTTTTGCAGAGAACCGCTTTGCCCCCAGAGGTGTTTTCGGGGGCCCTTGTGTGTGTCAGCTCACTCTCTTCCTTCTCCAGTTAGGAGCTCTCTGGTTATGATAATGCGCTTCCAACAACTGAAGAACTGAGAGGCCGTGGGTTTCTTCAGAACACATTTCCAGCCAGAGATAGCATTGTGGAAGACAAAGAAAAAAACTCATCTCTAAGTTTTTGTTGGAACTGGCAATTCTGGCAAGGATTTAAAAAACTAGGATAGTTTCTCTTGGTGGGCTGAGCATTAGTGTCGAGACTCGAGGCTGTGGACGACCCAGGAGGCTTAGGTCACGCTACTGTGCTTCTGTGGGCTCAGGCGTTTTTGTGGCACGCTTCCTGGGTCAGCTCTCTCCAGAAGTTTCAAATTAGCAGGAACATGTTTTAATTAGACAAAATTGTAGATATTTCAAAAATAGTTAAAGAAAAGCTAAAAAAGAAGAATGTCTAAGGCAGTGGTTCTCAGTATGAGTATCGAGTTCAGGCCACACCCTGGACCAGTTAAATCAGTATCTGTGGGGCCAGTGTTTCTACAGTTCCCAGGTGCTTCCACTGAGCTGCTGAAGGTGAGAGCCACTGGTTTACTGACCAATATTCTCACCCAGCTGCCCCAGCAAAGGTCTGGCAGCTGGGCCTGTTCTCAGGGCTGAGGTCACTCCGGGCGATGACTGACAGCTGGTGCGGGACTCCGAACCTCCGAGAGGACCCCTCTTTGGGCCCCACCCTTCACTCACTGGTGAGCAGCCTATCCTGCTCAATAGCCAACTCACAAAAGCCAAAATATATTTATGGGCTATAGTATTTTTCCATCCCAAACAAAAATAACTTGATTAAGGCCCATAAAAAATGATTAGTGTTACAACTTTAGGTTACCTATTTTATTAAATAGAAGACTGAAGTTTGGCAACTCTTAATTACTCTTACTTAAAATATCTATCTGGGTATTTTTAAGAAAGGGGCAGGTAGACAGTTGTCTAAACTTCTATCTTCATGTTATGTAAGTGATAAATCACTAAATTCTACACCTGAAACTAAAAATAAAACAAAAATAAAATAAACTATCTTCAGATTACATCATGGACCAACTAATGAAACCAGGTGGTCTGTGGGTGGTTCTGGAATGTTGATTGCACATCTCCGCTTTAGTTTATGATTCTCTAATACCTGCATGGACATTAGCTAATTATTCCATTTTGAAACTCTACTTACTGGGGAAAATCTGTAATCTACTTTAGACTTGGCATGTTTCTTCATGAGACCAAATAGAAGTGGTTAAAATCTGAAACATGGCAACAATTGGCCTCGGGAAAAGAGTAAACACAGCATCATTTGTTCATGTGGCAAATTTGGTAAATGGAGTTCTGATGTGGTAACGGGCTCTAACAAGACCAGGGGCTTGTAAATGGTAAAGCGCTAACATTCCAGATTGATAACTGAGCACTGACAGAAGTGATGTTGCTGAGGTTGTCCTCTTTGGATCTCACACACACACACACACACACACACACTCTCAAACACACTCTCTCTTACACACACACACACACACACACACACACACACTCCACACCCTTCACAGTCTTCCTGTCAGTTCTCCACATTGCTTTCCTCTGGAGTACTTTATCTTTTTCACTGACAAAAGCTTCACGGCGGGGAGTTCAGTCAAGGAAGTGCGAAGAGGTGAGAAATATAGGCAGTATCAGGCTTGCTAGTGAGCAAAAAGACCTATCCTATGAAACAAAGTTGTAATTTTTATTTTACATATTTATACATAAAACTTTCAAGGAACCCTCTGAATCCAACAGAATGTTAATAGCACATCTAAAAATGAACTTCAGGTAGTCAACATTCACAAAATGTTGAAAACTGATTAAAATGTACCTATTACGGAGAGCTACAACTTCACTACGAGGCAGGCATGTATTTTCTGACTTGTATAGATAGCACCGTCATTTACAGTTCTTCTTTAAAACTACAGTGAAGAATGAAAGTAGTCAGTGGTAAAATACTGCTCCAACTTAAAATCTCTAAACAAATAAAAATAAAGTCAAAACTACCCTCTTTGAGAACCACGACTTGTGATGGTGTTAGTACTGTACATTTTTTGTAACAATATTTTATTAAAATGCCTGATATTTAGTGGCACCGTAAAAAAATTAAAATAAATTAAGAAGCAAAGGCCAGTCACTGGACGTTAAGCTTCAGACATTATCAATGGCTAACACTGATATTCGTTTGTTTCTGCGCCACCTTTAGAAACAGCATTTTTACAACCACGGAAGCAAAAGAAATTCTAGCTTGTCCTCTCGGTCGGATGGCTTCTTTTACTTGGCAGGCATCTTCTCTGCCATGTGTTTCTGCTGACTTTCCGCATGTCTGTAAAATGAATCATACGATCATTTAGTGCCAAGGGGGAAGATTCAAACTGCTTTCTAATCCACAGCTACAACAATCCCCCAAACTGAGGCTCAGAGTTACTCATAGTGAAACCCAGAGAATTAAGTAACAGTACTTAATCCAAATGGCTTTGCCCTCTTTAATTGGTATATTTTATGTACGATTCCGTTTATTGAATAAGCCACTAGATTAGCCTGAGAATGGTAGATGTCACTACTTTTGAGAAGAAAAAGCACAGTGCTTAAAAAAGAGAGAGAGAAGTATCTGGGAAAATACAGCCAACAAATGTTTCATGTGTTTCCATGTGCCAAGTACTGCTCCTGGTGCTGTGAATTTGGCGGTAAGCAGACACTCAGTTCTTTGGTTTCGTGGCACGTATATTCCAGGGGAGAGGGGCAAAAAGGGAACAGATAGCAAAGAAGGAGATAGCAGATAGAATGTAAGTGCTAAGCAAAAAGTCTCAACAAGGTGTTGTGACAGAAGGGGACCGCATGACTGCTTTATGTAAACATGCACACAGACACAAACATAAGCATTCAAAAGGCTCTTGACAGAAATTAAAGCCAGTAATCCAGTTCCCCTCTTACAAAACCTAGTCTTCCTAACAAACTGTGGGTCTCTGGAGATGCCAAGATTTTCCATGTTTGCATACTTCCCCCGCCCCCCGCATTCGTCCCAAGGGCATGATCTTGGCAGTGAGAGTAAGCGGTAGAATGGGAGGAGTCTTCTTAGGCACTGAGCTCTATTACGGCCCGTGAGCCCCACATCCAGCCAACCTAGCCACTGGCCAGTGGAGACAGAGGGGGAAGAACGGCCAAGCTGATGACAGCGCCTGAATAAGTGCGCTAATTAAACGTTTTCCCAGAGAGTGGACGGGTTTGACGTCTGCAAAAGACAAGTGTTTTGAAGGACAGTTTTAGGAATTTATAAATTTGGCAAGAGAAAGCATCTAAGGCTGTGGTTTCCAGCTGTAATCAAAGGCTCAGGGGCAGTTTTTGTGTGCTGCCTAGATTTGGGTAGTCAATGACGTCAAGGTGAACTCACTGGTTTTGTGCAGAATGTCTCCTATCTATGGAATAGGGGAGACAAACCACAAATACTTTCAGAAATAGGGAAGTGACAACAGCGTCCTTGCCACATTCAACAGCCCACAAATAATTGGTGATATTCATTTAACAATAAAGGAACTTGAGAAAAAGAGATTAGCCCTTTATTCCTAAAAAAAATATGCCCTTCAGCAGACCCTGTCACGGCCCTGTTTATGTGTATAGAACAGCCTTGATCACTTTCATCAAGTAGCTTATGGGACTCACTTAAATTCAGCTCAAGAAATATTTTGATGCCCACTGAGCTCAGATTCCACTGTAGCTAATTAAATTATAGTTTCTATAGCAGTTTAAAAATATGTATCCATGTGAGTGCACAAGCGTGTGCACGCACACATTAGCGAGGGGTTTTTCTGAGCAAGAAGGACAGGACAGGAAATAGTTTCAGAAAATATTGAAAGCTGGGTGTTATTTTGAGACATACATACATACAAGCACGAATTTCATTAGCGTTTTAAACAAAGGAGGGAAAAAGTGTTAGTCCATAAAACTAAAAGGTTCTCATCAACTATTTATATGAAAGTCCTTATTAGCATTTGTTTGACTCAAGCCCCCCTACAAGGACTCCTTTTTTAGCAACAGTCATTCCCGAGGACCTGCGCCAGGCGGGCCCTGTCCTGGGCTCTGGGGACACAGCAAAGAATGAAAACGGCGTGGCCTCTGCTTTAGATGGAGGAGGGGGCTGTGTGCAGTGAGTAAGGAGAAACAGCAGACGATTTAACACAATATGATTGGGCTCCACATGGAAGGGATGCCATGTTGCCAGGAACACCGAGAAGGGGGTCCTACCCCAGTCTTGGGGGCTGGGGGGACAGTCAGGGAGCACTTTTCTAAAGGGGCATTCTTTAAGCCAGTACATTTCAAATTCAGCTCTGCACTGGAATCACCTGGAGAGGTTTAAAAAAATCCGAATGCCCAGGCCACCCCACAGAATCATTAAATCAGGATCTCCGGGGTGGGACCCAGGCGTCAGCAGTTTATAAATCTCTCCAGGCGATTCCGATGTGTGGCTGAAATTGAGAACCACTCATCTGCACTGACACTGGAATGGCAGAATGCCTCATTCTCCACTGGACAGGCGATGGGGACAGGTGAATGGGACTTCCCAGCCGGTCGCTCTCAGCCTTCTGGGATCTGGCTGCAAAATTCTGACCTTGCCACCTTCAGGTATGTTTAAGTACCCTCAGATCCCCCCCATGAGCAAAGGTACAGCTTGTAGCCAGGAAGGGACATAGAAACATCTCCCCACCTTCTCCACTTTAAAGAGTTCCTCTAACAATTGTAAATTAGTAACTCCTCTCCTCTGCACCCCACGGTTCTGCTTGCCCTGTTTCCCATGATCACACCAAACTTAAGGACTAGCTTAACACCCGGAGAGCGGAAAGGGGCCTCTCGGCGTCCCCCTGGTGATGAGGAATGCCGGAACTGCTTTGAGGAGCAGAGGAAAGCTCTCTGCTGTCACAGGTAAGTCACAGCGTTTACAAAAGAGCTCACATTGGTTTTAGAAGATGCAGGTTTTGGTCTTAGATTTCACTAGTGATTTCCCATAATCTTAATATCTATATACAAATCTCTTAGACAAAACAAAAAGGGACGTGTCTTACGGTTGCTGGAGCAGTGCCTGAATACATGGGTAGGGGCAATAATGTTATGTGAGTGTTATTGTGACATTTTAGATACGGACGAATATACTAAGAAGGTCTGAGGCCTTCTGGCTCTTTGTTTTTGTTTTTGGTTAGGGGCGCGGCAACACAATATCCAAAGCATACAACACAGAGTACTGCCCGTAGGTGTTTTTTAAAAAAAAGCCTAGACATAGTTCTATAGCATTTACTTTGCTACCCAAACTATTTTTGTAACACTGAATTTAGAAAAATATTTTTTTACCCAGCATTACAATTGAGAAGGGGTCCTGTGGTAGGTGCTAAGTGCATTTTGCCTACATACGTTTTCAAAGCTTCTCTCGGATGGTTCTGGATCGTGTGGTTAATTCCTTATGTTACTGTGACAAGCAGTGTTCTTTCTCTCCTTGGGGAGCCTTCTACTCTCTGAATCCCATTTCTGGGATTAATAGTAATTATTACCTCTTGGTTTAAAGACTTCGTATGTACTTCTCAGGAAAGGTAGCAAAGTAAATATGAGATCATACGAACGTTCACAGTATTTCATATACTTTATATACTTACGGGGACAGGCTTTTCTACAAAGAAAACTACTAAGAAACGCAGATCTTGACTGGCCTTAACCTCCTTTCTGTATCCCGGTGGGGCGGGGGCGGCGGGGGAGGCAACATTCTTTCCCTCTGTATAGAGGGGTGCTTGGGGCCAGGCCCAGCTGCAAACTCAAGCCCTGGAGTCTCCTCTCCAGTGAGAGCAATCTGGTGGCACTGGTGTGGTGGAAAGATGCCAGTGTCCCTGCCCTCTGGACATGGCAGGTGCGAGCGAGAGCTGGGTGGCACCCACCGCACGGCTGCTCGTGTGCTGGACGCGTGCCAGCATGGAATGGCTTAGGGCTGACTGCCCAGGGGGACAGTCCTGCAGGAAAAAGTCCTGCTGGGCCAGAACTGCTGGCCTGATTTCGGTGGGGGTGTAAGAAATTTGAATGCACTGGGAGGGCGGTTGTGAAAAAGCAACACATTTGTGTGTGTGTGCGTGTGTGTTTAAGCAATGCATCTGGAAAGGAGTTTTAGGCACTTCCTCTCCATCTCAACAGCTGACACCAGCAGAGATGAGGTGAGTTACTCATGGAAGTAAGGGGAAGGAGTTCTCTAGAGCTTGCTGTTGCCTTAGTTCTTAAACTTCAGAGCCCCCTGGGCTTCTTTCCTTTTTCGGAAAGGGTGAGGCATCGCTGACCTGGTCAAGTCCTCGATGTCCACCAGCATGGCGTCTTGCTCTGTGTGCAGCTCGTCTCGGATGAGGAGCAGCTGGACCAGCTCTTCATTCAAGCCTAGAGCAAAGAAAAGGGAGCATTTAAAAAACAGATAAAACTGCGTCTAAGTCACAATGTGCAGCTATACGGACCCATTATACAAGCTACTTTTGCTAAGACTTGGAATTCTTCTATTAGCCTTTCACAAGCCCGGGAGAAGTCCTCAGTTTGAGAACATGACGAGTTTGCATAATTACAGAAGTGTTGGAAGAAAAGGACCACAGTATGAAGGATTTCCAATGACATTCACGTTAAAGTGGGAAATGAAACCGTTACTTGTTAGGGAAATAGCTTGCTAGAAAAAGCAGGGTTTTGTTTTGCACAAATGTGAACAAAAACGTCTGGGCCGTGTTAAGTTCTCCACCTTCCGTCTTGAGGATGCTCCCATCCCCGAGAGCTGGAGGGACATCCGGCACCAGCAGAGGAGGGGCCTCAGAGATGCTCCAAGGCCTCCTACGGCCCCGCAGAAGCAACAGCCCCGGGGCGGGCTGTTCTCAGTAATATCTAAGTCCTATCTCAAGTTATGTGAAAGCCAGATGCGTAAGACCTTGAAATCCCGGATGAGTGCCAAGGAAAAGATTCCTTAGGATTTATGCTGGGAACCAAACACATAGAGAGAGAAATGTTTCTAATCCTCCTGAAACCAGTGCACTGGGTGAATTTAGCTCCTGTTCCCGAAAAACAGGAACAAGCAAGGGGCTCTCTGATTTTTAACCCTTAGATCGAAGCTTCTAGGTCTGGATGCATGGACGCATGGGCCATAGCGTTCATTTAGCAGCAAGAGCTCTGGGCCCAGAAACAAAAGATAGGAAGGAGGTATTCAGCTAGGTCCTCCTTGGAAATGCTTTTAGAGATCCTGACTTTAAACGATGCATTGATCTACCTTTAGTTCAGACTAGTTTCCAATTTAAAAAAGGGAGGGAAAAAAATCATACGAAGAGGTCTAAATTCATCAACTACTGAAAGGAGCTAGATGATAATTTTAGTATTTAGAAGTCAAAGGAAGATGTTTCAGTGGTAAAATATCAGAAAGCCTTCAGGTCCTTGAAAGAATTATAGTCCTAGTAATTTGCTCTCAACTAAAATTAAAATGTAGTAGAATTAAAAAAAAAACAACCCTGTGAATCTATGGTTTCTTAATTAGAATGTCAAACCCTTTCTCTTGATTTTAAAACAACACTGAACATATTAACTTAACTCTGAATATGCCCAATTCTATTTTTTTCACTATGTTCTTAGGGTAGCTTTTTAAAAAATTTAAAAAAAAAATCCCAATGGAGTTGCTTTTTA